CAGATTTTGGTTGGGGGGGCGAACTTATGTGATCTATGACTTAGCATGTAACATATATATATATATATATATATATATATATATATATTAATAAAGTAAGTTTATTAATATATATATATATATATATATATATATATATATTAATAAAGTAAGTTTATTAATATATATATATATATATATATATATATATATATATATATATATATATATTAATAAAGATCACGGCGTTTTTTACAGTACTCAATCTATATAATAGTTTCTCGATTCTTCGAATAATTCTCCGATCTACCAAGCTTAACTTGTTAATACTATAAACAAAATTCCTATTTACAGAAGATGTCATTATCTACGTGTATGCATATAGTACTATTTCGACTACCAAGTCTCGTCAGTGCAACATTATAATAAATTTTACATTTTTAAAGTTTTTAAAATTTCTAAATTTTTAAAGTTTTAAAATTACTAAACTATATATCCTATTATATCCTTTTTACAAAGAATTTAAAATTAACACTTTTATAATTTTAATATTTGCCCCCCCCCCTGCCTCCCCGCAAATGACGCCTCTGAATTGAAAATAAGAACAAACTACCAGCTCAGTTCACTAAATATCAGCGTCACATTCCAAGAAATCGAGCTAAGATGTTTGTGAAGATAACACCTAATGATAACTATTCAGTAGATTCTAGCCACTATTATGATACGCCAAAAACGCCACTATTTCCATTAGCAAATTATACATTTTCATGCTTAGGAGATTGAGTACTGCATGAATTTTCTAATCAAGTACCAACCTTATCGGCTGTATCAGAGCCAAAATCCAAAAAATCGAACTAATGGTGTTCAGTATGATAATGATAATCCATTCTTTCGATCCAAGATACTCTATACTAAAAAGTCGGGTTTTCCATTACCAAATAATGCATTTTCTTGCTCAGAATATTGATTAACACATGAAACTTACAACAAACCACCATCTTAATTGACTATATCAGCGTCACATCCAAAACAATTGAGCCATAGCCTGTGTTCAGTAACACACAATTAATAAGTGTTAAGATTCGAAATATACTTATTGACATCTTCCAAAATACTCCGCTTCATTTTACCAGATTTTAATGATGACGATGATGATGATGATATGTATAAATTTATAAATATATCAATGTATTAGAGCATGAAAGATAGAAAGAATTAAGAGCAAGGAAGAAAGAGAGAGAAAAAAGAGAGCAAGAAGGATGGAGAGATAGAGTAAGGAAGAAGAAGGAGAGAGATAAAATTTGCGAGAACATCAACAAAGTTAAAAGTTTCTTTCATTTTATTGCTCCCAAAATTAGTTTAACGAAACTAAACAGTTACTTACATAAAGGATCTATGCCCATATGTATGATTATCTTTATATATAATTATATACTCATATGTATACGTATTTGTGTGTAATTTGAAGTCACACCCAGTAAGCCAGACTCATCATAAAGCAACGACAATTTGACTTTTGATATTTCCTAATCCTAACTTTGTCACGTTATCTCTCTCTCTCTCTCTCTCTCTCTCTCTCTCTATCTCTCTATTTCTCAGTTCTAAGATAGTTTCACGCTGGGAACTAAAATATATAATATTGTAAAGATTTTTAAAAATTTATATAATTGAAGAATGATTGTACGAATATGTGTGTTGTTTGTTTATATGTACGTACATGCATAAGTATATATGAGTATATTGAATCAAAATTTATGACTTCGATGAACTTTAATTTTGCAGTAATTATTTTATTGACAATTTTATCCAACTGTGTTTGAAATTTTTTACGAGAGAGGGATCAACCGACTGTGTTGTTGAATTGGCGGATGGATGAGTCAATGATGAATGAATGATTAATTAATAAATGAAAGAATGAACGAACGAATGAATGAATGAACGAATGAAGAGTGAAAGAACGAGCGATCTAACGAACGAATGAAATGAACGAATAAACGAATGCTAATTTCTTTCAACTAACTTTTGATATTTATCTCGTAATCCTCTTTCAACATTTATTCAAAGACTGTTAGCGTCGGAAAAACATTTTAACCGAACAAAATAATAATAATAATCTCCCACTCTCTCTCTCTCTATTTCTATTTCTCTCTCTCTCTTCTCTCTTCCTATCTCATCTCTTTTCTTCCTCTCAACTTATACTAAATATCTAAAAATAGATCTGTGTCGTAACAACGCATTTGCGTCTCGTTATTATTTTGAAACGAAACGATTTTATACGATATCGTAATTTTGCACCGAATGAAACGAGACGATACGAGACGCCGTCAAAAATAACGAGAAATAACGAAACGATATTGAGATCTCGGTTCAAATTTTTATAATTGCAACGTGTTAATTAATTAAGCAACTTTATTTTTTTAATAGCAGATGCATTTTTAGAACTGTACAATATCATTATTACTAATTCATTCCAATCATTAAAAAACTTGTAAATAGCACCTACGAGATATAAATTCACATTTAGAAGACAAGAAAGAAACATGTTTGTGTGTGTGTGAGTGTGTGTGTGTGCGTGCGTGCGTGCGTGCGTGTGTGTGTGTGTGTGTGTTTGTTATAATACCATGAGTTCCCTACAATTCAAGAAATTTTTCGACCACTTATCATCATCATCATCATCATCATCATCCTAACGTGAACAGACTTCTTTCTGTTCAATAACAATATAAATAATAATAATAATAATAATAATAATAATAATAATAATAATAATAATAATAATAATAATAATAATAATAGCTGCGTGTAATACTATATGCCAATCTATAAATCATTAAAAAGTAAACAACAACAACAACAATAATATCAATAACAACCACGATAATAATAACAATAATAATAAAATAATAGAAGATAACTGATAACATCTCCATCTATGCGTAATATTATTAACAAGGATTTAATTTAACTGTAGGTAATGCGATGATGTTATTATTATTATTATTATTATTGTTGTTGTTGTTGTTGTTGTTGTTGTTGGTGTTATTATTCAAACGCTGATTCATAACTATAATTTACGATACGTACACAGCTGATAGACATGATAAATATGAATTATTATTATTATTCTTATTATTCGTGTTTCTACTAGTAATAGTAGTAGTATCAGAAGAAGCAGCAGTAGTTGCTTTCGAAATTGTAACAATAGTAATTGTCAAAGTAGTAGTAGTAGTACGTGTTGTGTCGATGTTGTTGATGTTGTGTTTAGTCCATTAACGTTTGGAAGGTTGATCTGTATCAGTGTACCAATATTTAGGATAAGAAAGAAGAGATGCTGATGAGAACGAGGTTACTGATAATGATGATGATGTTGATAATGATGTTTAATCAACAACAACAACAACGACAACAACATCGTCATCGTCGTCTTTAACACAGTTCCCATGCATTTCATTCTATACAAATTTTTCACAAAATTTTCTCATCCTCCTCCTCCTCATCGTCGTTGTCCTAATCCTCTCAACATCTTCGTTATCTTCATCATCATCATCGCCTTCATGTCTCAAGGTCAACTAAAAATCATCATCATCATCGTTATCGTCTTCATCGTTATCGTCTTAAATATATATTTATACATGTGTATGTATTTTATAGTTTAAATAAATGGACTACTGCAACAGTCTGTTTTATAAACTTCCAAGAAGGTCAATTGCTCTTCTTCAGTCGATTCAGAACAGGGCTGCCAAATTGGTAACTGGCAGGATGAAGTTTGATCACGTGACGCCCACCCTGGAGGAACTACACTGGTTGACAATAGATAAAAAAGTAACCTTCAAAATCGCTGTACTTGTTTAAATCGCTGAATGGGATGTCACCGGAGTATATCGTAAATAAATTTTCAAAAAAAAAATGTCTGCGTCGTCTCACTACGGTCAGACGATATGAATTTGTTGACAATATCGGCTTCACACTTGCAGATTGGTGCACGGAGTATCTGTTGCAGGTCCGACCGTGTGGAACAGCTTGCCAGTCATTGCGATCGTCCGGACTGTCTCTTAGAACATTTAAAAAAGAACTAAAAACATATTTATTCACCGTTAAACTTTGATAATTTTACTTAGGTTTTTTTCTTATTAATAGTATTGTAGGCTTCTATGTTTATGATAGCGCCTTTGATGAGAACATTTAATTAGCGCTATATAAGTTTACTATCGCCTGATTGGTCAGTTTTGACCAATGGTTCTGAATAAATGAAGTCTCTTCCTATAAATATTGAACAATAGTGTCGTTGAATTTTAAATTATGAATATGTGTTTGATCAGCTGATGTCCTAATGCTTGACCTAATGTGAGTTAATGTTATTTGTATTTTTAATGGTATGATTTTTCTATCTTTAATTTTTTTCAATATTTAATATATACTATTGAATATACACTGGTCAGTTCTAAGTATATAAATTGATTAATAAGAACAAGAGAGGGAGACTTTTGGTGCAAGGTTTGAGTTGGAATGCCGAGTGACACCTGGTGCTTCTTAAATGCTGATCTTGTAATGTGCTTGTCTTAGAACTCCAGTATTGCTAGTGAATTCAAACACTTCGTCAGTTAAGAGATCTTTGAGATGCTAAATATTTAATTATTAAATTGAGTGTGCGATTGTTCACATGGGTGTGCGTGTTAGAAACTGTTGTCATTCAGTTATGGAGCAATTAAAAGTTTACATAATAATAATAACAACAATGAAATTATTATCATCATCATCATTATCATTGTTGCTGTTGTTATTTTATGTTCTAATTATGATTCGTTGATATCTCAGATTAAGGTAATTAAATAAATACCAAATATATATATATATGTGTGTGTATATATATATATATATATATATATATATAATATGCACATATATGTAAATAACTATACATATAATTATATACATATATATAATTAATATATATATATATATATATATATATATATATATAATAAATATATTAGAGGTCATAAAAAAATTTTCATTTCGAATAAATATAGAAATAAAAATAAGGTGACTGAATGAATGAATGAATGACTGACTTACTGACTGACTGACTGAATGAATGAATGAATGAATGAATGAATGAATGAATGAATGAATGTAAGAATGAATGAAAAATATTTCAACAAAAGAATGAATGAAAGAGAAAAAGATCGAAGGAACAAACGAATAAAAAATGAATGAATGAATGAATGAATGAATGAATGAATGAATGAATGAATGAATGAATGAATGAATGAATGAATGAATGAATGAGTGAATGAATGAATGAACAATTGAATATTTAAACAAACGAACGAACGAAAGTATGAAGCGATGAATGTTTGAACAAACGATTAAAACAAAAATAAATAAGTCGATGAATGAATGAAAGAACGAACGAACGAATGAACGGATAAATGAATGACTGAGCAACTGAAAAGATAAAGACGGTATAACGCATCAATGATTTAGCTTAAAAACATTGTATAACTGCTTATAACGAGTGTCAATTGTGTACCATATATACATACACACACACACACACACCACACACACACACACACACACACACACACACACACACACACACACACATATATATATATATATATATATATATATATAAGTAGGTCTGTAAATATGCTTAATCGACGCTCACACACACGCACGCACACACGCATACACGCACGCACACACGCACGCACACACTCGCGTATATAAACATACAAATACACAGCACTTATATCATATAAGATATTTACCGTTATATGGTGCTGATGGTGATGATGACGACGACGACGATGAAGATGATGACTGAGATTTTATTTATAAATGAGGTTTTTTAAAGTTTATTGTTAATATTGTTACTGAAACTGTCATCACAAACATCAACAACATCACGTCCAACAACATCATCATCATCTTCATCGTCATCATCGTCGTCATCATCACTGTTGTTAAGTTAACGAGATGCCTTTTTGTGGATTACATTTAATATTTGAATATTATTTTTAAACCAGTTAACTTGTTCATGATTTAATTAGTTTAAATACTAAAGATATTAACCAAAGTGGTACAACTACTACAACAACTACAACTTCTACTACTACTGTTACTATTAACACTACTACTACTAATAGAAGTAATAATAATAATAATAATAATAATAATAATAATAATAATAACTCTACGTCATGTTGTTTCTCGTTGAAAGTTGTACGGTTTTTTTTTCTGGATAGTTATTGGTCTGAGATTAAAAACAACAAATGTTATACGAAATGTACAATCGTTACGATAATAATAACAGCAACAACAACAACTACAACAATAATTTGCAAATTTTTTTCAACAACATTAGTATAACGAGCATCAGCAACATTTGATTGGTAACACTGCAAAAGCGACGAACGATAGGACATCTTCTCATTCTCATCCTATCCTTAATGTTCGGCATATGTTTTAAGCAAACAAACAAACATGCAAACAAACAGACAAACAAACATGCAAACAGACAACAAACATGCAAACAGACAACAAACATGCAAAAAGACAACAAACATGCAAACAGACAACAAACATGCAGACAGACAAACATGCAAACAGACAAACAAACAAGCAGACAGACCGACGGACGGACAAACGTAAACAAATGAACACAAATTATAAGCATTAGAAGTGTAATGAAATAATTCAACGTCACTAGGGAGCACTTGAAAATGCGTTACATGAATTCAACCTCATCATCTTCCTCCTCCTCCTCATCATCATCACCGTCATCGTCATCATCATCATTCTCTCCATTATCATCGTCTAAAGACAAAACGGCGAACCGAAACTTGCCAATAAGTGGGAATTCCCGCGATGTCCTGCTGAGTCACGTGATGCAAGTGACCGACCAATCAGACAACGAGTGCGAAACCAGAGGTACTTGTAACGAGAACGATGCCAATGACGATGATGATGACGAGATAATCATTGGGAGTTATGATGATGATATTCACGATGTTGCTGCTGACGACGACGATGATGTCATAAACCTGGGTGGGTGTTTTCGGAGTGGGTGGAAGAGGAGGAGGAATAAAAAAGAATTCGCATGCAATGGAGGATGGACCATTGGAGACCACGGTCTGTTTATTATTATTATTATTGGCTTTGTAATTATTAATAAATATTACTAGTGATAAAGAAAAAAAGTGAATAAAAGAAAATGAGAGAGAGAGAGAGAGAGAGAGAGAGAGAGAAAAGAAATAGATAAAAAATTTGTAAAATTTATGTTAGTCTAGTCAAAAGTTAAATATTTTTACCATGAATACATCAATATGTGTGCGCGCCTGTATGTGTGTGTGTGTGTTTGTGTTTATGTGTGTTTATTTGTTTGTGTGTGTATGTGCGAGTCCGTGGTTAAAAACAATCGCCATAAAGACCATCATTTCGCCCCTGCCCAACAGTTCATATTAATATCTGGGGTCTGGCACAGAAGGGTACTTAGCAGTATTCTCTAAAATACAGAATGAATTATACTCTTGCAACAACAACGATCTATTTTGATTTGTATAAATTTTACCACTCGGATCTCCGGATTTATCAACTATTTTAGCACCTATGATATCGAAAAATAAGTGCGTCTGTTCATCAACTGGGCCGGATGTCTCCAGACAGATGTCTCCGGATGTCTCCAGACGGATCGGGACAAAAACTTTCGCATTGCCGTCGAGATCCTTCTACTCTGCGTTCTTCCGATTGACTGATTGATTGAATAGATGAATGGATGAATGAATGGATGAATTAACTGATAAATGGTTGAATGAAAGAATCAATGGACGAACGTATGGATGAATGATTTAGAGGGCGGGCAAGCAGTAGCAATAAATACAAACATCAATACAGCAACAAAAATACTAAAATAACAATAAAAATAATAATAATAACTATAATAACGATGATAATAACTATTATTTTTATGACAATGATAAAAAACCACATAGCACAATGCTACCACAATGGCATTCTTTATATAGGAACAAATATAGATAGATAGAGTTGCAATGTTATTGTTGGTATTATTCATATTGTTGTTGTTGTTTTTGTTGTTGTTGTTGTGATGGATGTTGTGTGTGGAAACATAATGGAGGGGTTGTTATTTGAGATTTTGTATGCAGATGATTTAGTCTTGATGGCTGATAGCATGGAAGAATTGCAGTTAAAATTTGACAGATGGAAAAGTGTTATTGAAAAGAAAGGGTTAAAAGTTAATATTGGTAAGGCGAAGGTAATGGTGAGCGGGGAAGGTGGGGAGCGAGTGATAAGTAAAATAGACCCCTGTGGGGTATGTGATAGGAGAGTGAAGGCTAACTCGGTATTGAGTATAGGATGTCAGAAATGGGTGCATAAGAGATGTAGTGGTGTGAGGGGGGCACTGAAAAAGGTGGAAGGCACGTTCAAATGTAAGAAATGTGTTCATGGTGTGATTAATAGGACGGACGCAAGGACGGGGTAGAGTGGTGGTATTGAAAGAGTGGAAAGCTTTGTTTACTTAGGGGATAAGCTGAATGCAGATGGAGGATGTTTGAGCGCAGTTACGGCTAGATTTCGTGTGGGATGGATGAAATTTAGGGAACTGGGTGGGGTATTGTGTGGAAAGAAATGGTCAGTGAAGATGAAAGGGAGGGTATATAAAGCATGTGTGAGAGCAGCGATGTTATATGGGGGTAAAACTTGGGTGTTGAGGAGAGAGGAGGAAAGTGTACTGCAGAGGGCTGAAAGAGCTATGGTGAGGATGATGTGTGGGGTTAAAGTGAAGGATAGGAGGAGTAGTACAGAGCTGATGTCAATGATGGGACTGAATGAGGACATTGTGACATTGATAAGGAGATCGAGATTGCGGTGGTATGGACATGTGTTGAGAAGGGATGAAATGGTCGGGATTAGGCGAGCGTTGGAGTTCGAGGTTGAAGGAGTGGTAGGAAGGGGTCGTCCGCGATTGGGATGGAGAGAGCAGGTGGAGAAGGACAGGGTGAAAGCGGGGTTGCGTGATACTGAGGCGAGCGACAGATGTGGATGGCGTCGAGGGGTATTTCGGTTTCATCATAGGTAGCCAAACGGCAACCCCCGATCTCGGGGAAAATGCCGTCTAAACGTGTGTTGTTGTTGTTGTTGTTGATGATGATGAAAAAATAAGTGAATGAATGAATCAAACGAATGAATGAAATAATAAATAAATAAAAATGCATGAACAAACATATGTACAAATACGAGATTGAATGAATGAATGAATGACAGATTGATTGATTTAATGAGTTAACAATTGAACGATTGATTGAATGAATAAAAAATTGAGTGAATGAGTGAGTGAGTGAGTGAATAAAAGACTTGCTAGGCCTATAAAAATTCCAAAAGCAAATTTATCAAAGAACGTTTTGCTAATGCAGTTGCAATTGTAGTCAAAGTAATTGCTAGTAAGTAGTTATTATTATTATTATGATTCTTCATATTATTATTATTATTGTTATTATTGTTTTTTTTGTTGATGTTGTTTTTGTATTTCCGTTTCTGCCTTAGCTCTGAAGTTGTGTGGTTTTATAAAGTAAGCCAAATTAAGTTAAGTCATCATTATCACCACCACCATCATCGTCATCGTCGTCATCATCATCATCACCGCCATCAACAACATCAACATCATTCTCAGTAATCTTAAAATAAATAAATTTAAATGTCGGCTTCCAACCAGTTTGGTTTCACTTACTATGATGGTGATGATGATGATGATGATGTGATGATGAGGACGATGACGATGATGAAAAAGAATTTTAGACAAAACATTTAAAAACATTAAATAAATAGCCAACTTATTGGTTGGATTAGCGTGATGCTAATTTGAAAAACTATATTTTTTGTTGTAACATTGATCGATTGAATGATTGATTGAATGATTGAATTAGTGAGTGAGTGAGTGAGTGAGTGAGTGAGTGAGTGAGTGAGTGAGTGAGTGAGTGGGTGATTAATTGGTTGATCGATTAACTGATTAGTTAATTCTCTAGTTGAATAATCAATAAACAAAATGTAAAGCAGTAATTTGCAGAATCGACTAGCTAAAGAAATGAAACATTTGCTACATTCAATCATTCATTGTTTATGTCATTCATTCAATCAACTATCCATCTATCCATCCATCTATCCATCCATCTATCCATCCATCCATCCATCCATCCATCCATCCATCCATCCATCCATCCATCCACCCGACAAATACAGTTTTAGCGTAAGCACAATCATAAATATTCAAATAGATAAACTGCAGCTAATTATCATCAAATTATAAACATAATATAAAATTATTAGGTCCACACACAAACACAAACAAACACACACAAACACACACAAACACATACGTACACACACAAACACACACAGACAATAATACAAATAATAAAAATATAATATAAATATTTTTTCTTTCCATAGTTTCAGGTTCCCATGTTTATGAAGATTCCCACAAAATTATTTGCCATTTGTTATTAAGATTATTGTTATTATTATTGTTGTTGTTTTTGTTTGTTTGTTTGTGTTGATGTGTTTATGCTGGTTGTATAAATGGAAGTGAGTGAACGAACAAACGAACGAACGAACGAACGAACGAACGAATGAATGAACGAATGAATGAATGAATGAATGAATGAAAAAATGAAAAATGAACGAACGAATAATAATACTAACAACGACAATAATAATAATAATAAATGGATCGTGTAACGAGATGCCACCGAATTTTTCTTCATTAATGAAACTTCTAAAAATAAATTAACAAATAGTTATTTAATTATTTATCATCATCATTATCATTATCATCATCATCATCATCATTATCATCATCATCATCATTATATTATTACCAGTTTTGTAAGAATGAGTTTGTTTATAGACTGATGTGGATGAATCGTTGCGGTGACAACAAACCTGCGATGAAGACATATGTACACAAACACACATACAAACAAACAAACACGCATACAAACAAACAAACATGCAAACATACATGCAAACAAACAAACATGCAAAAAAACATATGAATACACGTATAAACACATAAACAAACACGTAACTGCAACAAGAACAATATTGGTATTTATTAACTTATTACAAATCACAAACATATGTTTGTTTAGATTTAGACTGATTACAAACATACATACAATACAAACGTACATACAAACAAACACACATACATACAAACAAACAAACATACATACGTGCATACAAACATACATACAGATACTAACCAAACATACCAAACCAATTAACGTGCAATGATGGTTAATAACCTCATGTATGTATCATACAATTGGTATCTATTTTTGTATGTTTGCATGCATGTACGGATGGATGTTTGGATTGATGTATGCGTGTATGTGTGAGTGAGTGTGTGTGCTGTGTGTGAGTGTGTGTGTGAGTGTGAGTGAGGGAGTGAGTGAGGAAGTGAGTGAGTGAGTGAGTGAGGGAGTGAGTGAGTGAGTGAGTGAGGGAGTGAGTGAGTGAGGGAGTGAGTGAGTGAGTAAGTGAGTGAGGGAGTGAGTGAGTGAGTGAGTGAATGAGTGAGTGAGTGAGTGAGTGAGTGAGTGAATGAGTGAGTGAGTGAGTGAGTGAGTGAGTGCACAGCAGACACATATATAACTAACCAATTAACCTTTATCAATGTATGTTTCAATACTACTGCCTTATCAGCATTATTAAAGGAAACTTATTCGGCTGCTATTGATTTTATTTTTATTATTATTTATAATGTCTGAATGTCTGAATGTCTGAATGAATGAATGAATGAATGAATGAATGAATGAATGAATGAACGGAAGCATGAATAATTAAATGAACGAGAGAACGAACGAACAACTAAAATAAATAAATCAATCAATATTCATCATTATCAACAGCTTAACTATTTTGTGTCTGTTAAGCGAAAGGTAGAAGGTACTCAGTTTATTTTTTAATATTGTATAAAAAGAAACATACAAAGAGACATACACACACACACACACACACCACACACACGCAGACATACATACGTACACAGATACACAAAAACAAGTAACATAATGATAAAGTTATCTAATCAAATGTATGTAACTTAGCTAGGTCATTTCCTATTTTGTTGATGAAAAAATAAAAAATAAATGTGTATGTGTATGTGTGTGTGTGTATGTGTGTGTTTGTTTGTGTGTGTTTGTTTGTGTGTGTGTGTTTGTTTGTGTGTGTGATAATGATGTTGGAAATGCGGACCTTTTTAACAGGGTGATGAAAAAAATAATTAAGCTCGCCTTTTAAAAATTTGAAAAATGATTTATCACAAAATCTGAAAATTATTTTATTTTTATTTAATTTTCATTTTATTTTTTTGGGCGTTTTATTTTAATTTTTGTTTTTTTTTAAACTTGTGATAATGACGGTGACGACGACAATGATGACGATGCTGATGACGATGCTGACTTTGATGTTTTTTGAAGTATTCTTTTATTTTTATTTATGCTCTTGTTGTTGGCGTGTTTGTGATTGATGTTTTGGCTTTGTTGTTGCTGATGCTGTTGTAGTTGTTGTTGGTTCTTGATGTTGTTGTTGTCGATGTTGTTGTTGTTGATGTTTTTGATGTTGTTGTTGTTGATGTTAATGTTGATGTTTTTGATGTTGTTGCTGTTGTTGTTGATACTGTTGTTGATTGGATAACGATGTTATTGTTTATTATCGTCTGACTGCCTCGAGT